TATTTTTGTTTTTAAAAGCCTTCAATTCGGATCCAATGTGCAACCCAATCTCTTCTTACTTTTCACATCCTTTTTATTTTATTTAATTAATAAAAAATTATTATTATTATTTACAAAATTAGGATCATGTGACACGCACCAACTCACTCCGTGTAATAGGGATGAAAAAACGGATCAGTCTGACCTATTTTGCCCGGCCTACTATTTGGCCTGACAAGTTGGCGGACTTGGCAGAACAAGCTTGACAGGTTAAAATAATGGGCCCGACCTGCCAATTTTTGGCAGTCCAACGGACCAACCCGCGGGCCACGACCCACTTTACCATCCCTACCGTGTAGGGTGAAACTACAATTGTCCATAGCTATCCAAGCACATGATGTCACGTAGCTATAGCCAATAATAATCCAAGTTGTATTGCTATGACCGGTCGTAATCACATTTTTAATTTTATTTTCAAATATATAACTTATTATAAAAAATAAATTACGCTATTTTAAAAAGATAATAAATAATATAGACAGATCCAAATTTTATAGATAAGTTAATTAAAAATATTAAAAAAGTATGCTATCTTAAAATATCGCTACGGACAATAGTTTTTGAAAACAATATAAATAGTTTTTTTTTTTGTTGAAAATACTCCACAATGATCAAAATGTCAAAGAGAAGGAGCACAATTACATCAGTCCATTAAAACGAAATTAAAAAGTAATTAATTAACAAACGTTTGTAATTAAAACACCAATTGACATAAATAAAGTCACATTAAAACATAATTAAGATAGTTAAACTCGAAGATATTAAAATAAGGTTTAAAATATTTCTTAAGTTCTTCAAAGTTAAATTTATTTTTAATCTCTCAAATTTAAAATTAATTTTTCAGTCCTGAATTTCAAAAATATTGTTTTAATCTTTAAGTTTTGTTTGAGCATATGTCAAATATTACTGCATAAAATCTACTTATTAATGTTTTTATTAGTGAAAATATCACATTAAACCTAATTGATGTTACATAGTTATCTCAATTTGTCACTTTTAAATGTATTATTTTTGACCTAAAAGACTAAAGCAAAAATTTTAAGAATTAAAGGAATTAAAAACAAAAATTTTAAATTTGAGAGATTAAAAATAAATTTATCCTAAATTTGAAAAAGTTAAAATTACATTTAAATCTTAAAACAATATAATTTTAAAGTTTGACTTACTTGAGCTAGTTTTCTGTCCAAAAAAGTGTGTAGCTACTTTAAATACTAACAACATAAGTCAGTATATATCATAATACTGTTGTAATTTTTATTAAGTATTACACCGCACAATAACTTTATATTAAATGTGAATTTTGTAAATTCAACCGTTAATATCACTTTATATGTGTATATCAAATTTTGTTAAAACTGAACAAGAACTTGAAGGTAATCAAAGTGTTCATATTTTAATATATTTTGAAATGTATATATTACGTCAATTTTGTTTTATAAGAATGAAGTATTAAATAATTATGAATTAATATAAAATTTTGTATATATGATTTAAAAGTAAAGAACTTTTAATATAACGGTTGAATTTACAAAATTCATATATGTAATATTTATTAAAAGTTATACCAATATTATTATAACTCTCCTCATATATATATATATATATATACCAATATCCAAAAATAAAATTAGGGAACGAGGGACTTCTTGTTTTTAAAAAACTTTAAAATTACAATATATTTATAATGCAAATATTAACTAATGTAGATGCCTTTTCAAATTATCCAAAGGTATTATGATATGATGAGGTAGTTTATTTATTAGAAGAAGTAGTGGTAAAATATGTTCACTGAAAAGCAGCAGATGCAGGAGCTGGTGGATTAACTAAAAATATATCAAGAAGTTGGTGAATGGATGTGTAGTTATAATCAGGATATAGCTCTGAAGCTTCAAGGTCTTCTTCCCCTATTTCGAAGGCCATCAGGTCTCCTCTAACAAATACACTATGCAGAATGGATACTGGAATATTCTCTGGATGGGGTAAGGCTGCAACAACATATTGAAAAAAAAATAAAATAAACTACCATTACATTTATTACCATGAGAAAGGAGTAAAATAAAAGTCAATATCCTTGATTAATTATTTAAAATGTCTTACTCTCGGATTGTTTGACAATCTCTTCCTCAGTAACAAAATCCTTGCGAAAATTCTGACCACATTTTTGCTCCCACAATGATATCAACTCATTCTGTGATATGATATTCTTCGAGGGTCGGTAGATAACAATACGATTGCATGTTCTTGGATCATTTGCTACTTTAATAGTGTACATGGCAATATCTTCTTCATAATTCAGCACAGCTAATCACGTCAGAGATTGCTATTTGTTATTATATGACCTCATATGTGTAGTGCAAGTGCAAGTTTCATATTATAAGGGAAAAAGAAAAAATCATCAAAAATAATATTAAAGCGTTACAATAGTCATTTTTTTGAACTACTATATAAAAAAAACTCAAAGCTCAAGAAAAAAAGAGAATGCATATATAAATATACTTGTTGAAAAACATATACTCTCTGTAAAATACACTTGTGTATAAACTTTATTCTTTCTTTTAAAACTTTACTGCTCTATATTGGTTGTATAACGTCTAAGTGAGAGGAACACAACATCTATGTAACCTTTATTATCATTGTTATAAGGTTGAGTTTAAGAAGCTTGTTTGAAAAAGAATACTTGATTTAAACCTGAAAAGACTTCACTATAAAAGAATACTTGGTTGTTAAGCCTGAAGAGACTTATTTTTGAAATAATACTTGAGTATTGCTTGAAAAGGCAAGTTAAAGAATACTTAAGATTGAGTTAGAAGTAAATTGTTGAAATAATACTTGTATATTTGTTTAAAATAGTGAAATTTGATCTAGTTTGGACAATAATACCTTTTGGAGTGCATTTTTATCGAGGGGTCAATGAGATATTTGATCATGGTGATAGCCAAACCATCGCCTACTACGTGTGATAACCAATATTAAGTATTTTAGGTACTTAAGCATTAAAGGGTATTGTTGATATTTTGGGCAAGCACACCCAAGTCTCTGTAGTATGATTAAAAGGTTGTCGATCCTCAGGGACTTGTGAAGTAAGCTATGATTTCTATTATACTAATTGATACTTGTGAATTGAAAATTTGAGTAATTACACATGTTCAAATTTGATGTAAATGATGAATCAAACTTAAGTAACCAAAAGATTAGATTTAATAAAACAGATATGAGTCCCTCCTATGTATTCCTAATGATTCTATCAAATGATTCCATTACTCATTGCTATTGAGTTCTCTATTTTCATTCAAACCCAATCCCTTGGCATAAAAAATTCTGAGATATTTAACTCAATGAATGATTCCTCACTTCATTCAGTTCAATATCCCGCATTAAGAATCAGAACATGTTGCAACTATTAATTAATTTCAAGACCATCCCTAGCTCTCAAAACTAATAGGAGATTTGTTTCAAGTCTAGATTCAGAAAACGTTTTCCAACCAAATTCTAAATCCAAGATCAAAGATAAATGATCAGTTTATCAAAGCATTAAGAACAAAATACAAATTACTGACATTGAGTAATAGATGATATATATATATATATATATATATATATATATATATAAAACAAAGAGGAATACACAGGAGTGTGATGACTACATTAATCCCAAACCTAGAGCTTTAGCTCTCCATGGTACAAGAAATCACAAAACAACAAGATGAAAGGTAGAAGAAAGAGATCCTCTAAAGAATCGCGTCCCCACGAGCTCCAAAGTGCTCTGTTTCCTCGTTCCTCTCTGTTCTTCACTTCGTATCGCTAGTGATCCCTTTTTCTCTCTCCTCTGCCCTTTTATAAGTGCTAGAATTAAAATAGAGTAGGCATGAAAGAGAAGAATCCGCTCAACGCCTTGAAACGATTGAGCGGTTTGAAGAATTCTTCACCATGAAGTAATCTGAAGGGCTGAGTCGTTCAAATCCGTTGAGCGCCTGAGAGATTCTTCATTGTTAAGCAATCACAAGGGGCTGGGCGCTTCATATCTGCTGAGCGCCTAAGAGGCAGAGAGCACTCCTTCTTCCAAGGCCAAAACCGCTCAGCGCCTTAGAGTGGCTGAGCGCCTCTCCTTTGCTGTATTTGTTGAGTTCTCTGGCTTGAAAGCGCTCAGCCGTTTTAAACGGTTGAGCCGTTTGCCTCCATATTTCAAAACCTACAAAATAACACAAAATTTGATCAAAAGATTCATCGCTCCCTGTACTAACATAAATCAAAAGTCCCTCTTTGATTCTAAGTATATATAGACCAAAATTATATCAATATGTACAAAAATTGTGCTAGATAAGTGTCTCAAATTCATATTTCATCAAACTAATTAGACACTTATCAAGCTACCCCCAACTTAGAAATTTGTTTGTCCTCAAACAAAAGGTATTAATTGAGATAATAATATAACTAACTTATATACCCAGTGAAAACTTGTTTGCAAAATCCAGTGAGTACATGATTTCAAAAAGTCCAATGAAAACTTGTTTGCAAAATCCAGTGAGTACGTGTTACTACAAATGGTGCCCACATGATAACAAAAATTATGAACATCAAGCATACTCAAAGGAAATATTCACTCATCTTCCATTGCTTTCAATCAAGAGCACTAAAATTTCTTCACCATTGTGTATCTCTCTTTAATATGTTGTGAAGGGTGAGTGTTTCTCTCTTTTCATGCACCAAAACACGCTAAGTCTGCTTTGTTATTCATCTCCCACAAGTCTATTGTTAGAACTAAACAGGAATCACTAAGGACTTAAAGAGGGTTGTAATGTGGCCTGACTATAAGAGAGCTTGGTTTTTCTTTTAGAGATTCAAAGGCCTGTTTGGAAAGAGACATTCTCACTCATATGGGTTTATATTCAATCTTTGCAGTTGCTTGAATTCTCTTGACTCTTATGTCTCATCCCTCTTTTGATTGAATTTACTGGTTCCTTTCTCTTTTAGAATATTACAATAATTGATGGAATGGTAACATGGAACCTTGATTATAATATTTTTTTTTTTGACATTGAATACTACATATATATACAGGGAACAATACTTTGCTTGTGCAGCTCTAACCACATGAACACTCCATACATTTACCCCCAACTTTGCTCAAACCTACTTGTTTCATGAGAATGTCTCTTACCAACAAGGCTAAGGACAATCATGATTTTTCTTTGTAAGCTTAGGGGTTCTGTTTAGGGTCAGATTTGTCTGCTCAAGGGTCAATGTACTTCATGGGTTGGCTTTTTGGCTACTGGCTAAGTAAAACAACTGCCTTAGTAAATTCCAAGCATAGCTTAACTGTAGCTCATGGAAGACTCAAACAAAACCGACCGCATGAATCAATGATGACTCTCAAAGATTAAATTTTAACTGTTTTGCCCACTCACTCACACGGTTTGGTTAAGTGCCCTAGACATCAACAACTTCAGACTCATTTCAATTTCACTTGAACACGCTTGAAGCACACATTTTAAGTCAAAAATGTACAACCACTTGTGCAACAATGTAGATTTCCATATTAGCAAACAATGCTCATTGAAAACTTGAACCATGAAAGTGCTCATTCCAGAAAGATTATCAATTTGATTCCCAAAAAGAGTTTTATCATCACCACAAGTGGACACAAAACACATCAGATACTAATAAGATATTTACATGAAGGCACAACAGAAATCAAAAGAGAGAGCTTGAAACTTACCTTGAATCAAAGAGAATGATGGTGTGTGTGGAAGAGAAGAAAGCGAGAGAAAATGAGAAGACCAGGTTTGAAAGTGTTGGGAATGAAAGACAAATAAAGGGACAACTTCTTTTCTGTTCTTGGATTGGTCTTTCTCAATTTTTTTTTTGAAGCGCTGGGCCCTTTCTAGGCGCTCAACCATTTGGGTGCAGCGAGCAATATAAAGAAAAGCGCTGAGCACTTTGAAAGCGCTCAGCCGTTTGATGCAGAATTCTCAACCAAAATGTTTTGCTGATATGAGGGGTTGAGCCCTTAAAAATGGCTGAGCCGTTTTCCTCCTAGGAGGAAAATTTAGCTAAAAATTAGATACTGCAGCCAAACGGCTAAGCCGTTTTTAAGGGATGAGCCATTTTGTCAGTTTTGTAAACTTACCTGGAAGAAGCACATTTTGTTCTCCTTTCACACTCCCACTTTCAGTTACCTTCAATAAACTATAAAAAGCATAACACAAGAGAGGAGAATGTTGAAGGAACAAAACATTTGATAGAATGCACCATCAAAACATCAAATCACAAACTCAACTCTTCAAAAGCATAACTACACATGTAAAGGATTAAACTAAAATGAAAATGAGAATTCATACCAAAATGGCTGGGTTGCCTCCTAGTAAGCGCTTCTTTATTGTCATTAGCTTGACACTTCACTCAGTCATGGATCATTGAGATGAATGACAGTGGTGAGTTTCTTAACCTCACCACCCAGATATGGCATAATTCTCTGATCATTCATCATCCAAGATCTTCTAGAATTTGGTTCTTCCAACTCCACTACCCCAGAAGGTTTAGCTGGTTTAATCACAAAGGGACCTGACCATTTGGACTTGAGCTTTCCACGGCGCCAAGAAACTTGTTGGTCTGGCTGGAAGTTTCTCCACACAATTTTCCTGTCATGGTAGGACTTCCCTTTATTCTTGTAAATTTTTGAGGATTCATAAGCCTACAAACGCATTTCTTCAAGTTCATGAAGTTGCAGCTTCCTCTTTCCACCTACAACTTTAATATCAAAATTTAATGCCTTCTCTAATGGTGTGGCTAATGAAAATTTTCTTCGAGCTTCCAAACACACTTCATCAATCACATCCACTCTAAAACAATCTTTCTTGTCATTTGGGTGTTTCATAGCTTCAAAAATATTAAAATTCACCTCATCACCATGCACCCTGACCTTGAGTTTGCCATCATCAACATCTATAATGACCTTAGCTGTCTTCATGAATGACCAACCTAGAATGAGAGGAACCTCAAAATCCTCTTCCATGTCCATGACAACAAAATCAACTGGGAAGAAAAATTTATCAACCTTAACCAAAAGATCTTCAACAATACCATGAGGGTACTTAATAGATCTGTCAGCCAACTGCAGAGTCATCCTAGTAGGTTTCACCTCCACATCACCTATCCTCTGTAACATAGATAAGGGCATAAGATTGATACTAGCCCCTAAATCCAATAATGCCTTGCCCACAGAGAGATTGCCAATGGTGACTGGCAAAGTGAAACTCCCTAGGTCTCTAGATTTTTGTGGAAGTGACTTTTGAATTATAGCACTGCAACCTGCCTCTAATTCCACTGTTTCATC